TAACAACCTTTTTCGAATTTCTAAATTAACCGTTCGCGAGCATAGAAGTGACTTCTTTTTATTAAAGGCGACACGACCCTGCGCTATCCTCTGCTTTATATCCCTACTACTCCTTCCATCCTCACTTATCTGACTTCCTAGGTATCTAAAATCAGCCACTTCTTCTAATTTTTCGTCTCCTATCTTTATATTCGCTCTTTCCCTACTTTTTTAGTATTACTTTTATTTATTTTAATACAGTACTGATCTGTCACCGCTTCCATTTTATTTAAAGCCATCTCTAGGTCCTCCTTGCAAGATGCTAATACTACTATATCATCTGCAAATCTAAGCATACTAATCTTTTGCCCTTGCACATCTATCCCTACAGTTGTACTGTCTTTAATAATGTTGATGGCGTCTTCGATGTATAGATTAAAAAGTAGCGGTGACAGTGTGCATCCCTGTCTGATTCCCTTCCTAATATTTCTTAATTAGAATTTAAATGAGTTACAAAATAGACTGAAACAACTCAAATAAATTAATGTTTTCTCTGATGTTTATTTTCATTTTCAATATACAATTTACGGAGTACCTACACAGCTTAAACTTTCTCTTTAGACTATAAAAATTAAATCGATTTTTGGCCTATTAAATTTCTAATGTGTTCCTACAAATGTACAAAGAAAATTCGTTATACTTCAAGTACTTGTAGATGAAGTTTTAATAACATTTTCAGTTTTTATTACACCATTATATCGTCGAGCCGATTGTGCGAAAATATACAAAACTTTAATAGTTCAGAGTGACTTGAAAAGGTGATTAAAATTTCGTGCATAAAACTAATTAAATGTCAAAGTTCGTGCTTATGAATGAAATGAACAAATGTTCGGTTTGCGTTTTTCTATTCTTACAATAATAATAATAATAATAAAACAGCATTCACATCCGGATTATGAGTTCTCAAAAGACTACAGAACGTTAAAACATTGTTAGTTCATAAAATTCTTTCACTAATTTTTATCAACTGCAGGTATACTTTTTATTACTCCTATTCGTTTTGTTTTTGTGTTTCTTTATCTATAATTTTATTCTGAGCACGCACTCAGATACAATATAAACGCTTTGTACATACACTTGCCTACTTTTGGGTTGTGTCAGAGGGGGACAGGGACGAATAAACAATTTTCATCCGAACGAACAAGAGAACAAAGAAATTGATGCCATGAATAGAAGGACGATTACACTTACGACGGCTAAAGCAATAAGGATGTTACAGCTTGTGAGGAAGTTGAAGTTGAAAATAATAAAAAAAAGCCATAATAAATGCGAGAAAGAAAACCTGAAGCTGTAAATAAAAGTTTGCAGAAACAGCAAAAAATACTTATGTCTGAAATGAAATAAAAAGTAAACTTTTGAAATAGTTCTGTGTTTTTTATCTTAAATGTTTGTAACTAAATGTTGAGGATCGCTGAACAAGAAAGTAGATTAAGTAGTCATCTTGCAATGAATTGAAGACCCTTCTAAAGTGTTATAACAACAAACTATTAACCAACTTATATGTTAATCTTTCTTAGAAATGGTTAATATTCAATTTAAACATAAGGAATCAGTGGCTAAACTTATACATGTATAGAATATTAAAGCAAGTTTATATAGTTTAAAAAATTACCTAATCACAAGTACATTCATTTTCCAGGAAACCCTTTTTCCTAAAAGATGTTGTGCTTAAGTGTTAAAAAAATCCTAGAGCTCGCCTATAAGATGTCCACGCATCGGCATTTTTCAATCACCGAATATTTATCCTTTACATTATACTATGCATAATCACCCAGACTTTGCATAACTTAAATGATTTCTGGTCAAAATTATTGGATTTATTCGCAAATTAGGCAAACGTTTCGCTCCTATCGAAGAATTTTGACCAGAAACAGTTCAGAGTTCTTATTTAAGTTTATCCGTTACGTTTGCTTATGTTACATTTCTTTGTGACCTAAAGTAAGAGGTCTAGCAGTATTTAAAATATCAAAACATATTTTAATCTTTTTTAGAGTTGGATAGCTGCAAGTCAAGAAGTCTTTCTGACTTGGGGACTTCTGGGAGCCAGCGCAATGCAGATAGCTTCCCATAACAAAAATAAACATCTCCTTCAACGAGATTCTAGTCTTATAGCAATGATAACGTTTACTATTCTACTTCTAGCTGCCTTCTTAGCGAACACCTGTGTTCAGCTTCTACATTCTTTCGGTTACCGATATCTTCCAGACTCTTTTGGTATGTTCCGTTCGTTATTATTATTAACCATTTGGTTTTTGAACCCATGTTTGCTTTTGTGTATAGAAAAAATTAGCTCCTACGGATTCTTAAGGGCAACCAAAGACCCATTGCCAGCAAATTTGGCAAACACACCAGTACGCTATATGTTTCATCAGTCTTTTATTGTGGGAGAAAGAGTTACAAGACCTGGTACCGATCATACTTCCGAAAGTGGATACCAAGTAAGTCAATCAATTATACATCATCATCATCATCATCGTCTCATTTTGTGTGAGTAAAAGAATCGCTAAGAGCCGCGCAAATATTTCAACATCAATAAGTGGTGTAGACTACATACTCTATCATAAAATTTGGGTCACATTTCCATGTTAGTTCATTTTTAGGCATTAAGATTTGCCACGGAATTATTACCAACGACGTTTGCAATCATTGGTCCAAATCAGCTGTCTCCATTTTGGGCTGTGTTGTTTTATTTCACGATGATATTCTTTGGAATAACACAGCAATTGGCTATTTGGCACTGTGTCATAACTGGGATCATGGCGATCAAAACCAAAATCTTGAGATCCTGGGAAACAACCATTACGTTTTTTAGTTGCGCTTGTGGATTTGTTTTGGGACTTCCCATGGCAACAGAGGTAGGGACTCATTCCTTGCAAACAAATAGGTGTTGTGATTTAGTGAGTTATTTATTTCTAGCTCGGAATTTACGTCATCTACTTCTTGGACTTCACTGTTGGAGGTCAATGGTGGATGATGTTGATCATACTCATTCAGATTTTGGCAGTTTTTATGGTGAGAGGACGACCGTACAGTGGAGACGCTCTTGTAAACGCTCTCTTTACAAATCCATCGAGACCATGTGTACTTTCGTGGGCACCAGCACTTCTTTCGTTTACTTGGAACGTAATTTTGCCTGTGGCGTTAATGGTTAGTAATCTCTTCATGTCCAATTCAAATTTGGACTAATTCAAATGTGGTTTCCTGCAGGTTTGGTGCATAATCTTTTTCAAAAACGGCAACTTTCGGGAATTGTTCATTTGGCATCACGTCGCGAGTTTGGAATATTGGCCACTGTGGGCCCGCCAATTGGGATCCATGCTGCAACTCCTCCACGTTCTGTGCGTCCCATTGGTTGCGGTAATACAAAGTTACAGATACTTGAACAAAGGACCGGATGACATATTAGACGTAAGTGTGTATCCCAAAATAGAATAAAATCAATCTAGTTAACGTTAAATTTTTCCTTTCTACTTCATGCTTCTATATAAGGAACCTGAGGTGGAGCCGAACTTTGTTAGTAATTCGTTACCCCGTTTTTGAATTATATATCACTGATCGAGGTTGTTAAACTTTTTGCAGAGGGTGCAACTTCTTTATCGACCACCGATAGGAGAACACATGGAGAACTTCACAGTCCAAGAAAATCCAAGCGTCACACTCACGAGTGCGGCTCCTCCGAATCAGATTTCGACTACGATAACCGAAGATCCACCACCTAAATACACTCCGCCGCCTTCTTATACGACTGCTACCGGTGCCAGAATTGCTAAATTCTTTAGACAAAGCATTAGAAGAAGTATTAGAAGGATAGCAAACGTTATGGGTGAAAGTAGCAGATCTGCCAACCGACAAATTGAACGTAACACCACGACCCTACCACCTCCTGACTATAATGCAGTCCTGGACGAGATAAACCATTCCAGGACTTCGGCAACGATTTCAGTAAATGTAATCGACCTCCCTGAAAACGAAAACCAAAGAAATGGGACAACGAGAAGCGAAACGGGAGTGGTGAACCTTCAACCTGGCGTTGCTCTTTCAGCAGCTGATGTTGCATGTATTCTTCGGAACAGTTTTAGAAGAAGTGCCAGGAGGGCGATGAACATATTCAGAAGGGATCCTAGCGAAACTAGGGAGTCCATAAGTGCGGAAAATTTAGTGGAGTCGGTTGCTCCAATCGGACAAACTTCTGTGAACCTGGAGAGCTTCTCCAACGACGGCCATGAGGTGAAACCTGCCTTTCAGAATCCTTCCACTGTGATATAGTTTTATAAGTCTTTATGTGCATGTAATTAATAATTTAACGTTTCGATGATGGGATGTCCGATATGTGTGCATGACCTTTTTTACGTTGACTTGTGAGATTGATTAATCGTACGGACTAATTAATACTTATTAATAACACTATTTATTTACGAAATTACTCTTTGTTTTAAGGTACAATAATAACCGAGTCAAGAACTGATTACTATATCAAATATGTGTTTGAAAATAAAACGTTACACAAAATAAAGAGCGTTTTTTATTCAACATGCGTGAAACGTTAGAGATATAACAACAGGAATGATATTGAGCAAATCTATCAAAACACGTTACACAATATTTCAAGTGTCTTTAGGCACTTTGTTAGAGGAAACGGACAATTTTTCTTAAACTGTTGATGCAATGTGAAGAGTAATTCGTCACTGACTGTCACCTAATATCTTATCAGTTTTTTGAACGTAATAAAATCAGTTATCAAACTATTTCAACATTTTAAAATAACAATTGCAAGATAAGGTAACGTTAATCAAAACTATTATGCGTTTTTTTTTTAATATTTTTATTATTCTTCGTTTTTATTATTATTAATGTACTTGACTTAATAATTCTTTAGTACGTTTGCTTCTATGGCCACGTTGATTAAATCGTTACCCAGGAAGAAATCCGAAGCGATAATGTTGACGTCATTGGGCCATTCGTCCCTAAACCATCGGGTTATTGGCAGATTTACCCTGTCTGCTAATTCACGGAGGTCATTTAAATTGAAGATAACGTCGAACTTTGTTGGTGTCAATTCGGCCATTATGGCCCACAGGGGGTTGGAGTAACGATTGTAAGCGTTGCTATTTTTTGCATCGTCTATTGCAGATTTGACGAAAGTTTTCAAACCGGAAGTTGAACTTCTATCTCCCCAATACTGATAGATAGGTTGCCAAAGGAAATCGGAATATTCTAAAATAAAAAAAAAATAATAATCCCAGCCTAAGTCTTTTTCCATTGAAGATTGGATTTACTTATGCTGGTGTTGGGGTGGTTGTAGCAGAGGAGGAGGTTTCTACCAGTTGCCCATATTTCACTGAAGAGATGACCCTTGGCATTTTTGGGAACTGTTTGCTGAACGTAGTAATCACCAAATTCGTTTTTGAGCAGCTGTACGAATTTGCCATGGGGAAAATCTTTTGGATACGGAAATCTGTGGAAATCTATTACGACCAGCTCTTTTGGAGCCAGTCGAATGAATGCTTTTATTTGATCGAATACGGCATGGACACTTCCAAAACTGATAAGGTCGTGATTAACCGTAAATCTGTAATCAAAAAAGTTCACATTTGTGTTTCCTTTTCTTTAGTTCTTACCTGTCGCTTTGCTTGTAGTACGCGATTCGGAGATCCAAATATCGATTACCAAACACAAGCTGTGTCCATATGTCTCTGTCTTGGTTTACCGAATAAGCATCGACGTAAGTGATGTCTTTCGGCGATGTTGCTGAATTATGAGTTCCTGGTATAAATGCTTTTCCAATTGGCAATTTTGCAAGCTTTTCGCTAAAAGTTTATGATACCATGAAAGTCTGGTCAAATGTATCTACGCATTTTTAGTTTTAATGAAGGTATTTTTTGCAAAAAACAGTTTAACAAGAGAAGTAGTAATACATCTTTCGTCAAAGGCAAAAACCAGATAACTCAAACTTCTTGAAATCTCTCTTTCTGCTGTTAACCTTTAAATATCACAGTTACATAAGCCGGTATAGAAAATGATTGATAATTTTTGGTAGTTTCAGTCATATTATTGGTTTAAATGAGAAAATTATGTTCTTATAATCGTTGCCGGATGATACTTGCTGTCGACATTTGCCTTTTATAAATTATGAATCATTTACGTTTGCAAGATTCTTACTTTAAGTACTACCTATTATCGGCCATCCAAGTGGGCTGAATTTTGAAGCACTCTGTATATATTACTCTGTCGCTTTTTAACGACGCGATCCAATAGGGAAAACAGTGACTTCCTGGGGTCGGAACTGTAGTTGAATTTCCGTCTATGAAATTGTTATAGTTCCAATTTCCCGGCAAAGTTGGAAACCCGAAGGGTATACTGGTTCGATAAAATTGATCCACATAATTTAACGGATTTATACGGAGCAACTCTTTCGCAGAACCCTGAAATTAAAAATTACCCAAGGACACCAATTTATATGAAGGTATTAAGTAATTCTGAGAAACGCACCGCTCTAGGGTCTGAATTGTACAAAGCGATTTGATCAGGTCTGGACGCATCATTTGATTTACAAGCGCTAATCTGCCAATTCAGCTCCAAAAATGTATGTTTGAATGAAGAAACGGTTAAAAATACTCTACCGCATCTATTAACTGTTTGATTTTCATCTGAAATAGTCCAGCATTTTAAAAACTCAATAAAACATTTAATTTTGGTAGTTGATGGTTAAAATTATTCGTGAGAATCTGGGTCTTCAAAAAAAAATTAAGATCGAACATAAATTCAATAGTAATTGTTGCTAATCAGAACTGAATCACAAACGGAGTATTGAAAGTGTTTAATTAACGTATTTTCACATACATACCTCTTGCTCTACGAATTACAAAAGCGTAATTCACGGTGACCGACAGTGAAATTGTTAACAGAACCAGAGATCGATGCATTGTTACTGCTATGAAATCTAGGTACTTATTATGAAAAAAAATAGCTCGATGTTAACGACGACCCTCTTGTTGAAGATGCTTCTCTGGTTTACTGTGCAACAACAACTACACTTGTCGACCAATGAACTACAACTACAATTAATTACCTTTTGCCGAGAGAGTAAAGCAAGCCGAATCACATTGTTAGCGTCACAAACGGAATAAATAATAATTATTATATAGGCTTTTGCACGCACCGCTTTTTTTTATAGGACGCGATCAGAAATTCAATTGACAATCGCATCANTACTATAAATATACTAATTTTAAGTCGTAGTAGAATAAAAGGACAACATAGTGGGCAGTGGACCCTGCGGTTAATTTTTCTTATAAATAATAAGCAGTTATATGTTATAAGTTAAAAGTAAAAACGACGACTTATATTAGATGTGTCTACGTGTTCTACAAAGCGTATGTTAACCTTCACAAGACATACAGACAGTGTAAATGCTTACTGCTTTTGTCTGTGATGACCTTCACTTTTTAGTGGTAGGATCGCGAAGTGACCAGTTATGATTTTGTTCAACGGCAGGAACATTGAGTTTATTTTAATATTATACTTAGTTGCGAACTGTACGGTTTTTTTATTTTTATACCAAACGGTCCTGTCACGGAACTGACCGCAGTTCATGAGAAAAAAGCTGATGATATTACGTAACCGAATTTTTTCGAAAGGAAATCGAAACTTATTGGACTTGGGCTATAATGTGGGAACTGTCAAAAACGAAATCATTATTTAGTTTATGTAATGTTAAAAAAAAGAATTAATTTGCTAACTTTTACAGACATATATATTAAACAAAAAGTTTCCGTGATATGGTTTATCAGAATTAATTAGTTGCGGAAAATAAATAATATCTTTTGCGGTCTCTTTCACATCTATGCTTTTTAAACAATTAAACTGATTTGTTATTTAGTGTCTTCATAAACACAATGACAGACACCTTTTTCAACAACACTTAAGCCACTTGTAGTCGCCATAGGTGGCTTCTTGTGGTTGCGACTACAGGCGCTTTTGTAAGAAGCTGGTGGTCGCTACTTTTAATCAATTTTAGAAGACAAGTCCGGTCTTTGACCAATTTAAATATTCAAAACAAAAACTCAAAATATTATCTATCCCTATCAGTAAGTACCACTTTCGTTTTTGAGAACTTATGGACAGACAAGATCTAGCCAGATTTAATAGTTAAAATTAATAAAAATATTATTTTCGAAACCTTCTGGTTTGTCAGTTTTGAAAGGTGGCAGCCTTGGTCAGGAATAATAGATTAAAACTTTATTAAAGTCATCAAAATTACGAACAATGTCCAGCTTAATTATATAGGTACCACAATAATGTTTGTTAATTTGTTAAAGTACTAAAATTGCAGCTAGATTTCTTGGTATACTATATATCATAATTTTTATTACATACCATTGTATTTTGAGAAAGTACATATGTATGCACTTCTGTAAATAATGTTAGTTAATTAATGAAAGATAAAATTGAAAGCTATTTTCTTAGTTTATTCTTCGCCTACTACAAAATACCATCAACGATAAGTGCAGGTTAATATATTGATTTGGGAAAACATTTCGCAACTTTATCGATTTCTTTATATATGTATCAGTGGACATTGCATGTCGAGTGGCTACAAAAGGGTCAAAAGAAAGGCGTTTTCTAGCAGCACGACCTATATTTTGTTACAATATAACCCTTATTAGAGTATGCTATTATATAGGGTTTGTTGTATACTATGTAATACCTATCTGACCTTTTTATATGACCGTTTACAAATTTCTTGATGGGTTGTATTCTAGATTCTGAAGGGACGTCTTTAGATATAACCTTTAAAGAAACTACATATAATTATAAATAGTTAGAAAGTGATCGCAAGTATTAAATATTAATGTGATAATTCATTTTAAATTTTCCATCCACTACAAATTACTTCAGGTTAATGAGGGAATTTTTTTTTGAGGTAGTTTGTAGTGCATGGAAAATTGAAAATGAATTTTCCCATTAATATTTCATATTAACCACTATTAATAATTAAAAATGCCATTGTATACGTGTTGTATACGTATTTAAGTATTTGTCTAAACTCATATTCCCTAAAAAATTTCATAGATATGTTCTTCTCAACTAGAAATAAGTAGATCATACTAAAATCATGTAGTTCGTTTATCAGCAACAATATAACAGACAAACCTATATAACAAAAGTAAAAAGCTCTTTTGGCGTCAAATACTTAATTAAAAAGCAAACCCTTTTTGTTACTTTTAGAATTAAATGTGGATAGGTACAGTATCGTTTTATTTAATGTACCAAAATTATTATTAGTTAAATTCTAAAACTGATTACCATTAGGTACCTTGGTTTGTTTTGTTAGTCTAAAATAAAGTATAATATTACCTATACAATTTATAAAAAATAGGATGCATATACATATGTATGCATTTAATATACTTTAGGTAATTATACAAAAGAAATATTACAAAGTAAGTTTTTACCTTCTGTAGATATTGCGCTGCCTTAATAGTTCCAAATCACATCGGTATACCTATAAAAGAAACATTGTAATTAGTACTTACTGTATTTACTTATTACAAATCTTTGTATACATGTATATATAAAAAATTATACGTACCATTATCCATTGAAAGGAAAATCGAACTTATTATATTCACTGCACAAAAACACTAAACATACAACACATTGAAACACCATGTATTAATTAAACCATACGTTCAGTAAAAAATGTAATAATCAGTTATTTAAGAATATATAACACTAAAATACCGTAAATACCTACTTCTCGAATAAGAATCACGACGATACTAAAGATGAAATAGTCGCTTATACTGTAGATTAATGCATACTTCGACGTTTCTTATCACCTGTTTTTTTCATATGGACAACGTTTTTTGTCTATTAAGTCGGACATCGTTAAGGAATTCGCTTGTAAAGGTCAAAGCAGATGATACTAAGAGTGTAGACAAGAAAAGTACAAGACATCGAGTACGAAAAGACACACAGGGTGTTTAAAACACCACCAGAAAATAATTTTTGAAAATAAAGATTTGTATCGATTGTGTGTTTTTTTTTGTTTTTAATAGAAGCTCACACACCAAGGTCCATCATCTATATTATGAGTATCTATATCATTAACTGAATAAAAGAATTAAGGCAAAAGAGGGTGATTACGTCTTTAATGGTTATAGAACCGATACCAACGTTTCGCCCCTTTTTGGCAGGCTTTATCAAGGTAGGTTTGCGAAACGTTAGTGTCGGTTTTATAAGCAACCAAGTTTGCCTTTATACTTTTGTTCATATTAGAACTAGGGGTAGAAATAGAGAATCTGTAATTAACTGTTATTTAATTTGTTGTCTGTCATTCTGTTTATTTGTTACGGTTTATCTCAATAACTATAACGTTTATGATAATCATTTTCAAATAATGTAGTTTATCGTGCTTAATAATTAGTACGTACTTTGTTAGGGTTATACCATCTTCATGTATGCTGGTAATAAGTGATTTCTATAGTACAAAAAAGCTTTTTTTTGTTAGTATTAGAGCCTCTAGCATAAAAGAACCAAAAATATCATAGCCAAGCATGAGATTATAAAAAACTGATTAATTGTTTTCTCTGTTTTTTTCAGACCATGTGAACGGCCTCGCTATAGTGATATGCCAGTGAGGAACAGTCCAATAGGACACTGGCCTCACAGTATGAGTTCCATGCTAGCATGTCTGGGTTGTACCATCGGGCTTTTCAATATCAGCCGTTTCGCCATCCTATCAGTACAATTTGGGGCTAACTTCATCCTCCAATTCTTCATACTTTCAATAATAATCGGCCTGCCGTTGTTTACACTCCAGTTATGTCTCGGACAACAACTGGGAGCAGGTGTTATAGACATGTGGAGAATTTCGCCCCTATTTCAGGGAGTCGGGATTGCTCTACTCGTTTCCCAAGCACTCATAGGGTTGTACAGCATCGTCGGAATATCTTGGATGTTCGTGTTCTTTCGCGATTCGTTTATCACTAAAACTGATCGGTACAGATGGGCTGAACCATTTATCTATTACAGAGATGGTAAGTCCAAATATACCAATGGAAAGAGGCGTCTATTATTCTCTTTAAAACAAAAATAATGTGCAGGCCCTGTAATAATAAAAATGGAAGATGTTACAGTGTTCTTTGATATTAATATTTACGCACTGACTTGTTTACCTCACATAAATTTTTTTGTTTAAATAATCCTAGATACTTAATGTTTTCGTACATAATTAATTAAGTTTTTAATGTTTCGTCATTCAGATATATTTGTTCCCAACACCGTGCCCTATTTACAAAAGTGGCTTTTAGCTAATGTGAGTCACACAACAGAGGTGTGCCACATCAATAAGTTTATTACCAACGCCCAGGGCGGTTAAATATCATAAAACCTTCTGGGTGATGAAGAAATTTAATGTTCAATTACAGTAATTAAAATGCCTATGCCATACATAATAGATAACAGGATAAGAGGATGATTTTTTCTTTTCTCTCTAGATATTAAGCAACCAATAAATGGAACGTTCAAATTGTCGGAAACGGTTCCAGATTATTTCAGTGGCGTCGTTCTTCAGAGACACCATTTAGCCGCTGGGAACGCCTATTGCACAATAAAATTTCAATTGGCCTTTAATTTGGCCGTCGTTTGGATGATTGTCTTCGTTTCTTTAAGCAAAGGGCTTCGATCCTACGGGAAGGTCATCTACGTATTTGTACTTCTTCCAGTCTTCGGCATGTTCGTGGTTTGCGCCAAAATGTTGGGCATCATGCCTTTTGATCTCATCTACAGTATTTTTCCCGAAACAACATGGAACGAATTTTTTATTAATTCTAAGGTAAGTTGATTCATAAAGAATGGGTTGAAGGATTTCAAGGAATCGATAAAATGGTTAGTAAAAGTAGTCTTAGCGAAACCAAGAATAAGACTTCATCATCATCATAAGGTCGTCAGTCCTAAAACTGGTTGGATACGCACCTCCACTCTTTCCTATCCTGAGCTAAACTTCGCATTTCCCTAAAACTAGAATAGCCCACATCGTTAACTATTTGCGAACAGTAATCTAATCTAGGTCTACCTCTACCCCCCCTAACTTCTGCATCTGCTTCTAATATGTCTCTGACTAGACCTTCATGCCGAAGAAGGTGTCATACCAGCCTATCTCGCCTATTTTTTATTGTCTTCCATATAGTCCTCTGTTCTCCTATTCTTTCCAATACCTACCTCTTCATTTCTAAACTTTTCTACCCACGATATCCTCATCATCCGCCTTAACATCACATTTCGAACGCTTCTAACCTTTTCTTTTCCGCCACGCCCACTGTCCATGTTTCGCATCCGTACAACGCCGTGCTCCAAACATACACCTTTAACAACCTTTTTCGAATTTCTAAATTAACCGTTCGCGAGCATAGAAGTGACTTCTTTTTATTAAAGGCGACACGACCCTGCGCTATC